TTGCCTCAGTTTTGCAAACAGGGCAGGTTTTTTTGTGTGTCAGCCATTGTTTTATACATTGAATGTGGAAGCTGTGTCCGCAATATAGCTTCCCCATTTCATCATCTGCTTCATATTCCTCCTGTAATCATAGAATTCAAGCTATTTGTAAGATGGCAACAATAGGGCACGACAGTAAAGCAAAACCGCAAACCACATCAAATCACTGTAAGTATGAGTCTACCTGACAGATACTGCACTTCCCATCTACCTGGACTGGAACATTTGATGGCATATCATTCAACAATGTGTGCTTTATTTTCCTAAGGCATTTGCTTATCTCATCTTCTTTTAATCCAGTATTCACATAACCAATTCTATCACCAAGCTCCAGCAATTGCTATTCACCAACAAATTAAAACGAGTAATGTTACTAGAGATATGGTGCCTAATAATGTCCAGCAAATAAAACCAAAATTTCAACATAAAATTTGAGAAAAAGCAATCAACCTCATATGTCATATTGTCAATATCAAGCCGCCAGGCACTATATTGATCGCGTGACTCTGACCGTCCTCCCATTAGCAAACTGTTTTGCAGATAAAATATCTGCACCAGAAAGCCCCAAAGCTTGAAATACATATTAACAATGGGTTCTAGCTGTTACTTGGTAACAATGAACATTCACCAAAACCAAAAAGACATGAAAGATGTCCAGTAAATCCCAAAGGGGTACCCTTGAGTTGAATTGCAGCAATCATGTAAGCTAAAATTCATCTTTCACGCTTTCAGAAAGAAACAAATATATTATCAGTCTTTTTTGGTATAGTAATGAAAATGCCCTATACACAAAACAATCCAACTGCCTCCAGCCAAGCACCGTAAAATACTAACGTCACTGAATAATTAATTATCACTGTACCGCAAACCAATTATGGATTGTAGAAAGATTGCCTGTTTTTCGCTGATTATTTCATGTTATTCTAAAAGACAAATTCTGAGCTTTCAATAATGTCACTTCCAAGACAAATCGTTTTTGAGCTTATTCCAGACAAAGCACGTAGAAACAAAATGCTGCCATCGTTTTTTACTGCCACTTAATGTTCTTTTTACAAATAGGTATTTAGTTTGATAATTTGTAAAGCCAGAAAAAGTTTCTGCAACAATACTTCTTAGTAAAAGAAGTTTGCTTCAAGAAAAAGTTCATTTCCTATAAGCTCACATTTTGGGATGACATAACAACCATTCAACTAGAAAAAAAAAAAGCACTTTTTCCTATATGGTAATGATGCATTTGCATAAACTTGATCTAAGTAGAAAGACTAGAAAACTTGGAGCAGTCTTTACGGAAGTATAAAAAGCAAGAACAGAGTATGCAAGGCACCCACCTCAGCTAGCCCCTCAGGAGAAGGATGTCGAGCATGGCGACGGTATCTAGTTGCAAAGAAATCCGGTTCAGGATGTGAGGATGCAAAACCAGAGTCAGAATCAAGAAAAGAGAAAGCTTCTGGGGTCACGGTCCTCCTTGGTAAACAAGAACGCTACCAAGATTACATAAGCCAATATAAGCAAGGTGTTATGCCAGAAACAAGAAAACTTGCATGATCAAATGAAGGAATTCAATTGTTTATTAGAATACTCATTTATAAAACATAGTTTCCTGAAACTCAAACACTAGATATTATGAGGGCAACTCATGGCTATATGGGGTCCATGATGGACCATTTATCCAAACAAATTCTGTTCCGTCAGTAAGCAAGCAAAATCATACGTGCACGGATATTTTTCCTCCATTATTAAAAACCTAAACTTTTTGTGCTTTAAGCTTTTCATTCATGGTATTCTTCAATATCAAGGAAACAAGATGTCAGAATCTGAAATAAATTAACCAGAAAACCATAAGAGTACCAAAATAAAGTAGTCAAACTTCAGAATCAGAAGCAAAGAATGTTGAAAGAATCTCTAAACACAGATGTAAGAAGAAACCTACTGGAAGCATACCACAAACGGCACTACTTAAAAGAGAAGCGGATTGAATTTGTAGCTACTATTTAGGAGATTGACCAAATCAAGAATAGTTTAATTTTATTTGTTATCCACCAATAATAGGAGAATTATTTCAATGAAACAATTGTAGTATATCTACAATACTTAAATTTAAGGGCTGTGCTAATAAGGCCATAATCCATAACACAGATGTGCTAATCAAAATAATCACATATCCTTCTGCCTCAAAATTAAATTAAGCAGAAGATTGATAAGGATAGAGATATCCTCTCTCTCTCTTTCCTTTTTTTTTTTCGCTTTTTTTTTTTTTAATATGTTAAGGATAGAGCTAATCTTATTGCTTGAAAAGTTATAAAACATTGATTTCCACTCGAGTTATTTTGTTTAATCAAAATAAGTCAAATATTAATAGGCCACAAAATATGGGAAAGGAATGCCCTCATAACATATCCAAGAGAGATGGTAAATTTTTAGTTTGTCAAATTAAATTACATATTAGGCAAAATCTTAATTTTAACTTAGATAAACTCTTAATTTGATTGAAAGAAAATAAAATTTTCCTACCATCTAGTATATCCCTCAAACCATACACACCTAAGATTGAAGAGGAAATTACATACCTCCCTGTGACTGATTCTCTCCCCATCAATCTTCCCCCTCCCAGGCACATTCCTCCTCGCCACTGCAGAATCCACCGACCCAACAGCATCCCCCGAAATCCCAATTCCCGGATCGCACCAGACATCCTGGATTGCCTCACAACCATTCCCATTTCCCCCATCGCTCATGAAATCTTCATGTACCGTGCAATTCTCATTACCAATCTTGATGCCACTATGACCTCCTTTCTTCTTCTTTTCTTGTTTTTGTATCTTCTTCTTGAGTTTCTTGGCCTCCCAATCCGCTGACGTACGTATCACGGCGGGCACCGACACCTGTTGCGATGCAGAGGCAGTACAGCCAAGCCCTCTGAAGGTGGACTGGGTGGCTTTCTTCTTCGGGGTCACGTTGGTGTTAGTGGGTACGGTTTCATTGCCCCCGTTGTTGCCGGCGGAGAAAGTGGATAGAAAAAGAGAGGAGATAGTGGATTTGCAACGGGTGGACTGAATTACAGATGGGATTTCTGAGTTGGTATCTGCCTCTGTAATTTGGTTTCTGGGTCTTCTTAATTTCATGTGCTCAGCTATTGTAGAAGATGAAGATGAACCCTCTTCAAGAACTGGCATGGTTGACGATTCTCTGCAAGAAAGACACAGAATTGAAGGAAATGGAATGCGGGTATTGATCAAGAAATTAACTAAAGAGAGGACACAGAGGATATGATTCTAAGAAAAGTGGGAGAGAATTTACTCTATTTTGTGTATTTAATACAATTTGTTTGATTTTGAGCTTGTTAGGTGGGCTATGGTTTGTCTCGTTGTTGGAATTTGTGGGGATTTTCTCTGAAATCTGTAAGCAAAGCTTTTGCTTTTGCCTTTGCCTTTATTAATGGTAGCTGCTTTTTCCAAGCCAAATTGATGCTTGCTTACTTTATCAGAGTGAAGAAAACTTTAAAATCTTCATCTAATTGCATCTTTTGTGCAGAAAGAGCGCTACTGAGGCGGGGAATTGTGGTTTGGGGGGTACCTTCTGTATTCTATGCCATTGCCACCAACCATGGAGAATGGGGTTCACAAAGGGTCAGATTGGAGGTGCAGTGGAGAACGGTGGAGGTAATTTTTAAGGACCACACAAGAGGAATATCATAAGGTCAATAATGAACAGGGTTTTGGGAATTTGTGACTTTCATAATGGGATTAGGCCAAAGAGTTGCAATCATGTGGGGCGGTCTAATTTTGACTCTAGTAGGAAGCAAAGCATACGTTTTCTGGGGCACCGTGATTGCTGGGTTCCTTCTGCGTTTTTTCTCAGCCGATGCCATCATTTTGTATCAGGAAATATTAAAATTATATGAATAAATATATATAATATTTTATTTAAAATATTAAATAAAAAATATTAATTTTGTACTGTGCATAAGTTGCTAGGTTATGTTGTGAACAACATTAAACTTTGCGGGTGTAACATTTCCTTTTGTAGCCAGAACTAGAAGTGTTTTGGGTTTTTTTCAGAGGTTTTGCCAAGAAATAGAAGTGTTTGATGATAATGTAATCCACTAAT